GCAGGAGGGGGAGCTGCCCTGCCCTCCACCCCACTTCCTGCGCCCCCCGGCCGAGCTGCAGCTCCGTCCCCTGTCCTGCCCCGCCCCACCTGGGCAGCCCCAGCCGCACTCCCTCCCTCACCACGGGGCCCTTGATCTGCCCCCTGCCCCCACCATGCCCCTTCCCCCGCAACAGACTTATCAGCCAAACTTGGCTGCACTCCTGGCCACTTCCATGCTGTGCTGCGGCTGCGTGCATGCATGTGGCACTTATCGACTACTTTATTGGCCACCTGAGCCAAAAAAAACCAATTGCCAATGCTCTCAATTTTCCTTATCTCGGTGCCAATCCAATATGGAATTGATATATATTAGTGCATCTCTACTAAATGTGATTAACATGATAAAATAAGCATTCTAATGACAATCCAGACTAAGAAAACCTTAAGCGAACTAGAAGAAAAAGCAGTTAGTTTGACATTCTCCCTGGTCAAATATGGGAATAATTAATTTAAGCATGACACTCTTAGCTTATAACTAAAATATTCCTTTTACCCTTATGCTTGTAAAAGTTTAAGAGGTTTCTTAATATCCTTTGTGAACTTTGCAAACTGAAGACATAAAAGCAGAGAAGTGTGTCTTCTGGAAAGTGCCAGATTGCTCTTGAAACCATCTCAGTGGCACTTGGGCTAAATTGTGCCCTCCGTTTTATACCCTGTTTGTTAAGGGTAATGGGATTGTATGCAGTGTTCAAAATAAAAGTTAGAACTTGTACATGATAGTCCAGAGTGCTGCTCAATTCAGATACTCTGCATTTAGGTGCTGGCATGTTTAGAGGGTAAGACTGACTTTTATGTCATCATAGAGTTGGTTTTAAAAGATGAAATCCATTTCCCTTTTCACAGGCAGAATGAGGAGTAAGGATCCCAAAAGGGTTTCCCCGTTGGTTATTTGGTTTAGGGAGCAAGGCTTTGCTTCCGGATTAGACAAGGTTGCAAAATGGATTTGCTTATTAACGTGAAATTTCATGGCACTGAGCAAGCTAGTTCTGTAGATGTCTTTCTGGATAGTCTTTACTGCATTGAGACAGACAAGGATTGCTCAGTTGGTGCCTTAAGCCAATCTGCCTGAAAGTTTAAACATCAATTTTAACAAAAATAGAAAAGGAATTGTTGGGAATCTTAGAACAGAAACAATTTTTCCTCAGCAATCATTTTCATTTAACATGTGGGCTCTAAAGGGAATGGCTTTGTTGGCAGCATTTGCATTATCATACTGAGAATCTATTGTCTGCTTAAAGTTTAGGTTGTATATAATGGTGGACTTTTATTTTGTGTTTTGCTGTTTTCTGTGTATAGATTTGCTATTTGAAAACCCACTTTATCTTGTAAGGACACAAACTTTATTTTGTATTCTGTCTTTCACTGTAGTGTTTTATAAGAACATCTTGCAACTTTTAAGTCAGTATACAAGAGTGCCTGAAGGAAAGATTCACTTAATCTACCCATGATATGACTAAAGAGGGATATTTTTTTTCAAGTATGTCTCCAGTGTAAGAAGACATTTTTGGTGCTACTTATGCATTTCAAAGCAAGAGAATAAATTAAAAAATCTGAGGATGTGGTATCATTTCTTTTGGTGGAAATTCTTTACAAAGTGAAGAATTCCATTAAAAAAATTTTGAAATTTGTTTAACCAATGACGCTAGAAGAACTATGGAGCCAAAACCTTAGCTATCATTCTTCCAGTGAGGCTGTTTTTTTGTTTTTCCTCATTTGGCTAGGCCAGGGGTTTTCAACCCTTTATTTAAAAAAAAGAAGAAAAAAAAAGTGTACCCCTCATGGCTGGATGCAGAGCAGGGAGTGGGGAGGTGGTGCATGGTGGAGCAGTGGCAGTGCGGGGTGGTGGGTGGCAGCAGTGGCTGCTGTGTGTGAGCTCCCCTCTCAAACCCCACCCTGCATCTGACCAGGTGGGCAGCGCTTGTGCAGCCTACAGAGGGGTGCCACTGCCCTCCTTCCCCCAGCCCTACTCCTGGGAGGTGGCAGTGTGGGGTGGTGGGTGGCAGCGTTCTATCCCCGCCCACCCGTGCATACCCCCTTGGGCCTTCCCAATTACCCCACTATACCCACTGACAACCCCTGGGCTAGGCAGTGCACTTCAAAGGAGCTGGGAAAAGGAAGGTAATAGTATTTGGCCAAATACTTATCTGTGATATAAATGCGTTGAAGTCGGGGCTTTTGGGGTGAATATGATGAGAGCTCCTATTTGATGACTGTTGCAGTTATTGTTATTTGTATGAAGGACTTCTTTTTCTCTGTTCAGCTTTCCTCTCTGTCTTGCATGCATAACAGCAGAAGGTAAAGAAGAGATAGGAGAGGGCCATTTAGACATGCATTTGAACTAACAAAGTGTGATTCTATGGAAGATACCATGTCGGGGATATTGCTACTGAATAAGTTGAATCAAATTTAACTTGGTCTGTTCTGTTTGTGTCTAACATGAATTTGGTGGATTCAGACCTACTTAGGCAGGTTTGAATTGGATTGCAATTTTAAATTTTTCTAGCAGAAAGATTCCCTTTCTTTAATGGTTGGTGTTCTTGCTATGCTTCTCTACCACTAGATGTTGCTGGATATAGTTTAATATGGAGGAAAACTGACACAAAAAAAATAAAGAAAAGGTGGGGGAAACACTAAAACAAGTATTCTTTCAATACCTACTTCAGAATAGTTGGTGACTGCCTGCTTAGTGACTAACTGCATCTAATTCTTTGAGAATGCATTGACTCTTTGATACTAAGTTTATGAAGACTGTTGCTCTGTGCATGGGCCTAGTGGTAAGGGAAACACTTCATAGTTGAGTAAAAAGGCACTCTCTGTCCTGAAGAGCTTGTCATCCATGTAGACAGCATGCAGTGAAGCTAGAGACTCAACAAAAAGTGACTTAAACCAGCAGTTAGGTTTGTACAAGACTTCAGTTCCATGATTTCTGTAGCTTTTTAATTTAACCTAGGATTGGGGAGAATTAAGGTCTGTAGGATTGCCACAAGGATTGAGGATTAATCAATACTGGGGAAGACCCTTTTGGTTTTGCTTTGGTATTAATCAAAATGGGGTACTAACTTTTTCTTGAAGAAACACGTTGATACTCTAACTTTTTTTTTGGTTGATTTCATATTTACACAGAAATTTACAAAGAGAAGAGCTCCATGTGGGTGAACTGAAGATATACTAGGTTTAAACTTGAGTCCCTTTCATTACATGAGTTGCATGTTACCCACTGACACTGAAGTAAAGCTGGAAAAAAACCTACAAGTTAAGAAAACAAGAAGTTTGGAATTGGACTTGGGGGATCTGGGCTTGGAAATGCCTCAGGTAAGCCTGGTTTGTGTTACAGTTGTATTTACTTTAATAAGCGCTCTCTCTAACATAGTTACAGGGCAAAGTTTGAAGTCAACAGGGAAGAAATATTCCAAAGAGGAGAAAAAATAGTACCAAGTAACATGTCCTTCTTGTCTACTCTGAGCATGAAGACCAGAAGTCAGATAGAGTTAAACCTCTCCCCCTGCTAGGATATCGCCTTGTAAAATCATAATCACCAGTAGGAGAACAGAATTTAAAGCTCAAGCCTTCTCCGCAGGCTTGATGACTCCTAGAGTTCATAATAGAAGGGTGCTTAACCTACCTCCTTCTTTTTGGCCTCTTTCTTTTCCTTGCCTCCATCATATCTGCATGGGCTCATAAGTTGGTGAAACATACTAATACCTTCCCATCAGCATCATCACATGTTAAAACAGTTACTCTTCCAACAAACATCACCTTTCTCTTGGTGTCTGATTCAGAAAGTCTTTACCCTTTGCAGGTAGACTGATTCTTCCTCGACTCGTGATTGGTTCTGCCAGTGTAGAGAACAGTATATCCTTTTGTGATGTTAGAAAAGGAGGAGAAATCGGGCTTATAATAGCAACTTGTTTGCAGTGTAAACTGCCATGACTCTATGCCATTTTTCCAGTTTGCCTTTCTAATTGACTGTAGGTTTTGAGACTGTAACCCATCTAGTGGCTATGCATTCATACACATCAATAGGAAATAATTAGTCTAGTTCTCTGACAATTCTGTAGCCTACTATGGATTCTCAAGGGAAGTGGACTGCTATAATATACATTTATCCTTACTGTGGACATGAGTCTAAAAGTGCCATAGCATTTTTGGGATGTTGCTGTCTTAGGAAAGTTTTACTTGTAATGTAGCAATCTTTAAAATGGTCTCTTTATGGAAACACGAAATCTCTGTTACGTTCTGCTGAGGTAATGAGAGAGATCTTTGGAGATGGGATATTTAAGTGTTCTAGAGCTTCTTTTAAAAAAAAAAAAAAAAAAAAAAAAAAAAAATCCCAATGATTTTGTTGTAGCCCAGTGTGAGTGGAATGGACCCTCCTTTTGGGGATGCCTTTCGGAGCCACACGTTTTCAGAACAGACGCTGATGAGCACAGATCTTTTGGCAAACAGTTCAGATCCTGATTTCATGTATGAACTGGTAAGTAATTTTTTTTTTTTTTTTTTTTAATCTGACTTTTACCTTGGGCTGCACTCTAAATTCCTAGAGAAATGAGGGGGTGATCTGTTGAATAGAGGCCACCTGTCTGATTGATTATTCATTCTTGCCCATTCCTTACCTCAGCCACCAGACTAGCAACAGTAATATCTATTCAAAAGAAGGTTTGTATATCTAGATGTCTTCAGGGGCCTTAGACTGTAAGATATACAAAAGCTTTGAATTGAGTAAATAGTAGGCCTATATGAATACGGAACTATTTGATTCAGATGCCAGCAATTCGATTCAGAGATTTGAATAGTTTGTTTGTTTTTTTTTGTTTTGTTTTTGGTGGGGTTTTTTTCCGATTCGATTTGCCCAAATCTGCTTCAGAAGATTCGGAGCCGCTTTGGCGATTCAGCCATAGAGTATAATGGGGAATCAATTAAATATCTATAACTTTGTTGTTTTGTGGCTGGTTCAGATGAAACTTGCAGGGATGGTAGCCTCTGCTGAGGGCATGAAGCCTGCCAAGTTTCAAGGTGATAATGCAGGAGTTTCTGGGAAACTGCACCTCAAACTGCTTAACAGACTGGCTGATGTCAGCATCCTGAGGGATAGCCAGCACGGGTTTGTTGAGGGTAGGTCTTGCTTGACCAATCTCATTTCATTTTACGACTGGGTAACCTATCACCTGGACAAGGGAAACGAGATTGATGTTGTATATCTTGACTTTAAAAAAGCCTTTGATCTGGTATCCCATGATCACTTCTTGGCAAAACTGGCTAACTGCAGCCTCGACCTCACCATGATCCGCTGGCCGGGGAATTGGCTCCGCAGTAGGACCCAAAGGGTGGTGGTTGATGGAAGTCGATCATCGTGGTGTCTTGTTACCAGTGGGGGTCCCTCAGGGCTCTGTCCTAGGGCCTATACTATTTATCATCTTCATTAATGATCTAGACATTGGTGTTGAAAGCGGACTGGCCAAGTTCACCGATGACACTAAACTCTGGGGTAAAGCATCCACCCCTGAGGACAGAAGGGTGATTCAGGCAGACCTTGACAGGCTTAAGAATTGGGCGGATGAGAACCTGATGGCGTTTAAGTTCGAAAAATGTAAGGTTCTCCACTTTGGGAGGAAAAACCTGCAGTATGCTTATAGGCTCGGCAGTGCTACGCTGGTTAGCACTATGGACGAAAGGGACTTGGGGGTTATGAATGACCACAAGGTGAACATGAGCCTTCAATGTGATGCTGTGGCTAGTTAAGCAAGCAAAACACTGGCCTGCATCCATAGATGCTTCTCAAGCAAATCCCAGGATGTCAATCTCTCATTGTACTCAGCCTTGGTGAGCCTGCAGCTGGAGTACTGCATCCAGCTTTGGGCTCCACAGTTCAAAAAGGATGTGGAGAAGCTTGAGAGAGTGCAGAGGAGAGCCACATGCATGATCAGAGGTCAGGAAAACAGATCTTATGATGAGAGGCTGAGAGCCATGGGACTCTTCAGTTTGGAAAAGCGCAGGTTCAGGGGAGATCTGGTGGCTACCTATAACTTTTTCAGGGGTGTTCACCAGGACCTGGGGGAACGGTTGTTCACCAGAGCACCCCAAGGGATGACAAGGTTGAACAGTCGCAAACTCCTCCATGACCATTTCAGGGTGGACATAAGGAAGAACTTCTTTACTGTCTGAGCCCCCAAGGTTTGGAATAGACTGCTGCCGGAGGTGGTTCAAACGCCTACCTTGAACGCCTTCAAGAGACATTTGGATGCTTATCTTGCTGGGATCCTATGATCCCTGCTGACTTCCTGCCCCTTGGGCAGTGGGCTGGACTCAATGATCTTCCAAGGTCCCTTCCAGCCCTAGCGTCTATGAATCTATGATGAGCAAAACTCGTGACATAGGTGACACGGTGTATGTAAGGCACAGTGGGGTGAAAACTGCGGGCCTGCTAGGCCCTGCTGCAGCCACGAAGCCTGCCAGCTGTCAAGGAGATACAGGTGCAGGGGGGTTCTGGGGCGCTGCACCTCTGGTAGAGACTGGCAGAGAGAAGTCTCAGTCACTGGCCAGCTAGAGATGTCAGTCCTTCCCGCTCCTCCTCCCCGCCCTGTTCCCCCTCCCTCTTCAAAGTTTCTGTTTCCCTGTAAAGACTGCCCTCTGAATCGCTGAATCTTTTCCAGGTGGATTCGGAAAGTTAAGCTTCTAGCAATTCAATTTGGAGATATGATCTCCGAATCGGGCCGAATCTTCTCTGAATTGAATCCATGAACTGAAGCTTCACACAGCCCTAGTAAATAGATGCACTGCTGCCGGGGAGTGGGGTTTGAAAGCTGAAAACCTAAACAGTGTAGCTGCTCTTAGAACAGGTGTTACATCATCAAAAAAAAAAAAGCAGAACAGAACTGAAACATTGACTTCTTAATATTTTTCAACATAAGCATTTCCCATTGCCCAGGTAATAGTGATCACCTTCATACATTATTTCACAGATTTGGATAGAATACAGTTTTCCAGGATCTAAATGGTCTAGGATTGGTAAAGGCAGATGTATAGAGTCTTTTATCTCTTTTATTATGTGTACAAATCTGACGTAGGCCAGTTGAGAGGAAAGTAGTTTCCATCTGATGGCTCTTTCATACACTAAATGAATTGTTGGTTTGAGTCCAGTTCCTAGTGGTCAGGCATGCACACCATACAAAAAATCTTGCCACAGTTGGCTGGTATCTTTGGCAGTCTCAGCAGAGAAGCCTGGAGCCGCTGAAGCATGGAAACTAGGCTTCAGCCTTGCCCCAAGAAAATGCTTTAGCTAAAAACTGAGGTACGTGGAGTCATATTGTATCATTATAAGAGATTTAAAAAGTCTCACATACTATCTGTCATTTCCCAATATTGTTGGCTTAAATGGAAGCCTATTTCCCTAAAATATATCTTGTTAACTTGTCTTATTGTGCGCAGGACAGAGAAATGGACTGTCAGCAGAGCTCCAGAGACAACTTCCTTTCTATGGAGGACTGCAAAGACATTGAAAACCTGGAGTCTTTTACAGACATTCTGGGTAATGAAGCATTTGCCTCAAACTGGGAGCAGTGGGACACATACTGTGAAGATCTAACCAAGTATACCAAACTAACCAGCTGTGACATTTGGGGAACAAAAGAAGTGGATTATCTTGGCCTTGATGATTTTTCAAGCCCATACCAAGATGAAGAGGTGATAAGTAAAACTCCAACTCTGGCCCAGCTTAACAGCGAGGACTCTCAACCTGTCTCAGATTCACTTTATTACTCAGATTCACTTTTTAGTGTAAAACAGAACACTCTAACTTCTCTGCTACCTGGCAAAAAGATCACAAGCAGAGCAGCAGCCCCAGTTTGTTCCTCCAAAAATGTTCAGGCTGAGGCGCCTTTGTCAGACTGCGTTCAAAAAGCGAGCAAGCCCACATCAAGCACACAAATCATGGTGAAGACCAACACGTACACTAATGAGAAGGTGAACATTCATGTTGAATGTAAAGACTATGTTAAAAAAGCAAAAGTAAAGATCAATCCATTGCCACAGAGCAGACCGGTGTTGAGCCAGGCCCATGCAGATGCAGCAAAAGAAAACACCTGCTACTGTGGAGCTGTGGCAAAGAGACAAGAAAGGAAAGTGGTAGACTCCCTTCAGACTCCTAGTACTCCTCCTGTTCTGCCTTTTAAAGAGACTCAGGAGCTGCTCCTCAACCCACCCCAGGAAACTCCCGGGCTAATTGTGGGGGAGAGCAGCCTTGCTGCCAGTACGTGCGCGCCAGATTCTTCACAGAAGAAAGAAGAGCACAATTATTCTCTTTTTGTCACAGATAGCTTGGGTAATCAGTCAATCAAAAGAGACCCTGAAGAGGAGGAGGAGGAGGATGAGGAGGAGGATGTTGAAGATGAAGACCATGATGAAGGATTTGGCAGTGAGCACGAGTTGTCTGAAAACGATGATGAGGAGGAAGATTATGAAGATGACAAAGATGATGACATCAGCGATACTTTCTCTGAACCAGGTACTCTACATTTTTGGCTTGCTGGAGCTGGGCAGCTTTGCATTTTCCCAGCAAATGTTGTGGGAAATATACTTTTGGCATATGGTAACACTTTGCCCTTACATATAGTACCTCTTATCCCTGGGTTCCAAAATTCTTTTCAAATGTTCACTAATGAAGCTTAACTATAGCCCTGCAAGACGGGTGTTCCTTCCTTTTCACAGAGATGTTAAATTATTGACCCAAGATCATGCAATAACATTAGTAATAGAAGCACAGAGAGAATTCGGGAATCTTGACTCCCATCCTATTGTTCTAATTGCAGGACCCTACTGGTATTTTTTTTTCCATTCCTATTTTTTTGTCAACAGATTGATGGGGTATGCGGAGTCCTAACAGGACACATTAAATCAGTTATTACCCTTTCCTAGATTCTACTGAGCCACTGTACATGATAGTCCCTCACCCCCCCCCAACTTCCCCTAATTGGCCCATTTATTGGCAATCACAGAAATGAATGAGATTGGAGCTCAGTCTCCATAGTCTCCTGTGCAAATAGAAAATTTAATTATAAAATTAACAGAACAGTCTGCTTCTGGAAGGTGACGTGGAATAACCATTAATGTATTAAAAAAAAAAAAAAAAAGCATGCAGAATAATTAAACTAATTCTTAGCTATAATCACATTTTATACAGTCCTTCTAGTGTAGAATAAGCATCTGTGTTTTGAGGGAGGGGCATCACTTTTAAATCAGCAGTTCAAGTTAAGCGTGCTGATGTCTGATGATAAAGTTTTAGAATAAAGCTGCCTCATTAGCAAGGACTTTATACTTATGTTGCTTTGTATTAATTTTAAAGGCTTGTAATGTAGCTATGCAAGTATCTTCAAACATTACCTTCTTCACTTCTGTATGGAACTCCTTCAACTTATTCTTCTCTTTCTGAAGTTTTGAGTGGCTTCTGTTTTATTATACTTTTGTGTGGTAGCACTTGATTTGGCTAGGTGCATTAGAGCATTGAGGCACGTTGCATATTATACATGGGAAATCCAGTAATCTTGAAAAGGTGGTTAATTATATTGTTGGGATTTTACTCTGATAATATGTTAATAATATGCTGTCTTTGAAAGTTTGTCTTTTGCTGGCAAGGAGCCCCTTCTGCCTTCTATTAACTGCAAGTACTCCTGCATGTAGCAGCATAGTAACTGGGGAAATAAAATTGCTGCTTGACCTATATAATAAACTCACTAAGATTTCAAGTAAATGAAGGCCCTTTGCTTTGGCTGGTGAACTAAAGATTTAAACCACTATATATTCTGTGTGTGCTGCACCAGGGTTTTATTTATAACTTTTTCCTTTATTGGTGAAAATACTTCAGAAAAGGGCCTGGGAATGAGCAGAAGTATTTACAAATTCTGTTGTACTAACACCAAAGGCAGAGAGCTGGATTTAGAGCTAAGGTGCGAGGGCAAAGAACATTAACGCTCATTGACTCCCTATTGTGTGTGTTTTCTATATAGATGATTTTATTTTCCCCACTTCCTCCTGCACTTTTGCAAGTGTGTGGAGTATGGGTTCATCTGAAGAGACGATAAAATAATAGCTTTCTGCCTCCTTTAGTTTCCATTGTTTAAATGGCATCCTAAAACTGTCTCCCCATATTGAGTACAGGTCTTTGAGGTTTCACCCTCATCACTAGGTCATTGCAACAGTATGCCTTTAGTGAACTCCATTAGTGGCAAAGAGAGAGATTAATCTGATAATTTAAGTACATTAAGTACTGGTTTGGGAATTGATGGATATAGCTAGCTACAGTTACTCTATCCTTTCCAGAGCAGCATAGGGTTGCCTTTATTTCTGTGTACTGAAGAGTTTAGACACTTTGGGATGGTATACAGTGTTTGCTGGAGTTTGCAGTGGGGAAAAAAAGCATGTGATGTATGGGACTCAGGCTGGCTCTACAGTAGAGGCAACCTAGGGTAGGAATCATCATAAACAGAATTCCTCCCTGTTCTCTTCCAGTATTCACATATTAGGCCTACGATACTAGTCCCTAAACAAATATGTACCATTTTTGGCACTCTTACTATAATACTGAGAACTGGCGCATCACAGCTGCCTGCTTTCCCTTTACTTATATTTAGGAGGAAATGCACTGTTGCATAACCAGAACTCCCTGCCACACTAGAATGTTTGATTTGAATAGAAAGTAGCAAGCTCTGGCAGCTCATCTGAGGCTTTAGACCCAACAAGGGTAGGGATCTGCTGACTTGAAAATGTGTGTCAAGTTCCTAAATATCTTTGTTGGAAGACCAGGCATAGATGGATTTCTGCAGACTTGTATATTCCTTGTCCAGATCTACGTATCACAATTTACCTTTTCTGTTCCCTTGTAACTACCCAGTATAAACCCTTGGAGTGTATTAGATCCTTAAACACTTTTTTAGGAGAGGGTACTATCCTTAATTTTTTTCCCTCTAACTCAGGGGTGTCAAATTAATTTGATCCTGTGTGCCAGATGAGGGGTGTGGGGCTGGTCTGCAAGCTGGATTGGGCCCATAGGCTGGCCTCATGTACAAGAGCCAGCCTGCAGGGTCATTCTGGTGTAAGTGCCACAGACAGCATGCCTTGGACCAGCCCCGCATGCAGTGCATGGTGCAATGGGCCAGTCCAGGGTGCATGCTACATACAGTGCATGGAGCCAGTCTGGAACATGCATCCACCCCATGTATGCTGCGTCCATGCCAGACCAGTCCTGGACACTGGCTTTGACACATGAGGCCAGTCTAGGGGCCTGACTTTGGATCAACCCCAGATCCAGCAAGCATGCTTGGTCCAGTGTGAACACCATGGACAGCACGTGCCCTAGACTGACCCCATGTGCTGTGTGCAGCATGTGCAGGTTCATCCCCTGCACCATGTGCAGCCTGTGTCAGATGGGTTCCATGCACCATATACAGTGTGTGTGTGGGGCTGAGACCAGTACAGGCTGCAGGAGCCAGCATGTGCTGCATGCGGTGTGTTGGTCTGAAACACACAGGCAGCACTGTGGGCCATATCTTTGATGCATTGACTCTAATCAATATGAGTTTCTTGGGGTTTGTGTATGAACAGTCATCTTGGCAGGATGAGCTTTACAGATATACTTGGGCTTAGATTTTTGTGAGTTTTTTGCTTTAGGTTTTCTGATCTTTTTTTTTTTTTTCCCTGTAGAGACTCAGGAGATCCATGTTCTGTTGCTGAGCCACCAGCTCAGTATAGTCTTGGGGATTAGCCTTAATTTCTGTATCTCTGTTCCTTATTGGTAAATAGTGAAAAAGTTAATGATATTTAAGAGGCAAGGATTTTCATTGGGCCAACTGCATGGCTGGGATAGACGTAGGCAAGCTTTTGAATGCTATGCCTCCTTCATCAGTTCTTCTATACATGTCTCTGTTTTAATTTTTTTTTTTTTTTCTTTTTTTACCTGTGATCATTCACTCCATAGTTTGACTGGTTTCATCCACATGGTTTCCATTAGATAATTTGGTGCACTGGAAGTGATCTCCACATGCATATTCCCCGAATTGGTATAATCCAGGGGTTCAGATGGGTTTGTTGTGGGCAGGTTGTGGTTTTTTGTAGTAGCAGAAAAGCTTGACAGGTTTTGCATCTGATGTTAAAGCAAGGCTGCATCCCACTTGATGTCTGCTTCTGATGACAAGGTTAGGGGGTTGTTTTGAAAGTCGGGACCTTGAGGAGGGGAGGCCTGATTGTTTGATGATGCTTAGTTTGTTATGTTTTTGGGGTTTTTTTACTACTAATCCTAAACTTGCAGTTAAAGAATTCAGCAAAGCTAAAAATAACATGGATTTCATCGATTTCTAGCGTCGGAAAGGACCTGGTAGATCATCGAGTCTGATCCCCTGCTCCAGGCAGGAAAGAGAGCTGGGGTTAGGTAACCCCAGCTGGATGCCCGTCTAATCTCCTCCTGATCATCTCCAAGGGAGGGAACAGCACCACCTCCCTTGGAAGCCCATTCCATATTTTGGCAACCTTTACCGTAAAGAATTTCTTCCTTGTGTCCAATCCAAACTGAAGGAGAACAGACTTATGGTCATAATTTCTGGTAACCCTGAGGGGCACCCTGGTAAACAGTGTCCCCTATTCCCTGCTGGCCGCCCTGATGAGTTTGTAGGCAGCCTCAAGATCGCCTCTCAGCCTTCTCTTGCAGAGGCTGAAGAGATTCAGATCCCTCAGTCTATCTTCATAGGGTCTTACCTGTAGGCCCTCAACCATACAAGTAGCCTTCTGAACCCTCTCAAGGTTATCCACATCCCTCTTGAAGTGCGGCACCCAAAACTGGATGGAGTACTCCCACCTGCGGCCTCACCAATGCCGCATAGAGGGGAATTATCACTTCCCTAAACCTGCTCGTGATACTCCTGTATCCTGTTCTGTCCCAATTAGATAAACTAACTTTACACAGTTATGTAGTCTGGAAAAGCTGAGACACACAGTGCCTCAGATTGGCTTTTTAATTAAAATTACTGTTAGTGTTATATATTACAGAGGTAAAGTAAATTTAGCAAAAAGTATTTTGCATTTTAAACTGGTCTGTTAATCTGAAATGAGTCAAACGAGTGGCGTATTTCTGGTCTTTCCAGATTTTGGAACTAATATGTTGGCTCTTTGTACCCGATTTTTATTCATAGTAGGAAAGAGGGAAATGCTTTTTCTTTTTAAGTATTGTGCAGTTTCTCAAGTTCAAATGACTTAACCATTGAACTGAATAAGTTGAACAAACTGAAATGAAGAAAATTTATTTTCTCCTTTTGTAGAAGCTGCTGCTCTAAAGAGTTGTTTACACACTTAAACTCTGGTTCCAAGTGTTTAGTCAGTGACTTCTGACGCTTAGTGATTTGACTTTCTTTAAAATTTGGCAGCAAATCTGTAGTACTTGAATATTGTTTACATTCATTTTTAATTATCTTAATACATTACATGCATTTTAGACCTTCGGTTATCTGGATTTTAAGAATTTTTTTTTTTAATTTGTTGAGGAAAAAAATTGGAAAACAGAACTCTGTTTTGCAACATGATGGGATGATGTTTGCACTGAAATGATACCATCACTTCTTAATGTTTTTAATTTTATCATACACAAACTGCATTCTAATATAACTATTGTCTTGTCTCTGTAGTTTGGATTATTTAACTCCCCGGGTTTTTTGCTTTAAAAAGCACGGGCGTGCGATTGAGCACTTTGAGCCAAGCTCCTTTCCGTTCAGACAAAGAGGTGGGCTGATGGCAGCTAGTCCTGAACAAAGAGCCTCCTATGCTAGAACTGTCTTCCATTGCTCTGACAGAGTTGGTTAATTTGACCTTCAGGGCATGCTGCCAGGATGATTTATTTTTCCCAAGCTTTTAAAGAATATTACATAATGCAAAATTATTGCTCTGGATTGATTTGATAGTGAGGATCGTGTTAGTTCTTAGTATGCTTTTTGTCATAACCTTTTACCGTGGGATAGGATATTAATCTAAGAAATAAGGGAGACCTGGAAAGTGTTCTGAAAATTGATGGGAAAAGAATGAGGGGCAAGCAAAAGGTGGTTCTCTAAGGGTTGAAGAGACGATGGGTGGGGAAGGAAAGTAGGGCTAGAAGAAAAGAGGCCTCTTGATGTCGTGGATATTCTCCCCAGTTCCAACTATTATTGGTGTAATGTTGGCTTGACACTGGATTTAGGACAGATCCCAACTGTAGAAAGCCAAATACGTGGCCCCAGTAGTATGGAACCAGTTAGTTGTGTGGCTTTAAGTTTTATCACACTTTAGTTTCTAGAATGTTTGCTCTGGTACCTATAAAATTGTTTCCATCCTTGATGAGCTTCTAAACAAATGATCAATGCAACTTAATCTCTAGGATATGAAAATGATTCTGTGGAAGACTTAAAAGAAATGACTGCAGTATCTTGCCGGAAAAGAGGCAAAAGAAGATATTTTTGGGAATATAGTGAACAACTGACTACATCTCAACAAGAAAGAATGCTGAGGCCATCTGAGTGGAATCGAGATACATTACCAAGTAATATGTATCAGAAAAATGGACTCCATCATGGTAAGAGTACCTTCCCAGTAGCCAGTCTTTTCATGCTGACACCTCCGAGCCCCCTAACTCCCTTATGCAAAATGAGTGAGAAATCTTGTTTTGGTGCCTGAGGAGAAATCCATTAAAACAGTATAACTCCTGTTACTTGGCTAATTGCTTTCTGTAATGTAGCCAAGAAAGGGTTCGTGAATATACAGTAGTAACCTCAGTATGGTTTCCCTTAAGAGGAAAGTAGATTCATTGAAAATTGTAACTCCTAAAGTCTCTCTGTGGAGACTGTGAATGGTCTCAATGCAATACTGTTAATGTCACAACTTAGTCGTGACTCTGATTTTTGCCTCTGGATGCGAAGAAGCAGATCTAGTGCTGTTTGAAGTAGTAGAGTAAACTACATGCAGGGCTGACATACGAATGACCCTTTACTTGAGATGCCAAAATAGGACAGACAGCAAAGTGGGGTTTTTGTTTG